AAAAAAGCAAACAAGATGATAAGCAATAAGTGCAGACATTTCCAGGGAAGGACAGTCAGGACATTTCCAGGAAGAAGGCAGTCACAGCCTGAACCTTAGCAGAGACACCATTGGGACTTATGAATAGTACTGATTGCTGATGCTCCAGCTGCAGGAGGGGCAGCACAACACAAATAAGATGTTACGGGAAATACAGGATCTCTCATGTTGGAGAAATCTTAGAAAGGCCAGTATGATAACCCTACAAAAGCAAAGGCTGTTCTTCACTGCTATATATAGATGGTAAATAACAGCTGCAGAAAAAGGGCCACTTAAGCTTAGAGACCATTGATTGCACAAGAAAAATTGGATGTAAAAATAATGAGGCTAAAAATCAGATGAAGGGTGGGTTTTTTTCCTTCTAGAATTGAGATTTTGGAAAAGCCCCAAATAAGCATAAAAAGCAAAGAAAAAATTAAACCCTTTCAAGAATTCAGAATTCCACACATTTACTTTAGGATTTGTGATGCAACAATTCAAAAGACCTGGTCTCATTTGTTCTTTCTGACAATAAGCCACACGTAGCAGAGCAGATCTGAACTTGTGCCCCCTATTCCAGCAAAGTGATGGGAGCTGTTCCCCAGCTGCAGCAGCACCAGGGACAAGGACTCATGTCCCTGCAAGAGCTTCTGGGCTCCTGAGCTCCTGGTTTCTCATCTTGAGCTGAGGATTCCACATCAGGACCAGTCTGCAGGTGCTCATCAGCTGGTGCTGAGGTCCTGCTGGGAATTGAGACAAGCTGAGTGTGCAAACACTGGTGGCACCCACACACCGAGCTAGGGCACAGCGAACCTCAGTGAATGCAACTCACACCAAGCAACCCCCAGGCTTCCTGGGCTCTACCTAAGTCTAGCCTTGCAAAGGATAACCAAAGTTAAATGGTTTTGTCTAGGCAGGGTCAAGAATCCAAAAGCTTATTCTGGCCCCTACAGCCCTAAGGTATGCATAGTAAAGAGTAATTACACAGATTTCATTGCTACAAAACTTGAACATGGACATTTCCCAATCTAAAGAGTTTATTTTTTATTTTGTTAATAAAATCACCATGCACATCTAAGCTGTTACACATTTTCTCTGGACTTTTATATATATTTGTGTGCTACCACCAGAGCTGATTTTAAGTAAAAATGGTTAATCCTTTCTTTAATACTTGTCCTTTCACATCAGCCTTCACAAAGCTGAAAGCAGCATAAAATAAATTCTATAGTCTCTACTTGAGGAGAAGAGCAAGTGATAAATTACTTGCCTAGGAGGAGATGATGTTATTAATCAAAATGACTTCAGGGTATAGTGTTTTGAAGTTGTGTTGAGTATTAAATAACAGGTGAAGAGTTTTTTCCTTTTAAAATCCTAAATTGAAGCCTATTCAATAAAAAGAAGCAAAATTATCCAAGTTGTTACAGAAAAAAAAAAATCTTCATGAATAGAGAGTGTAAATTAAAGCCTTCAAATTGAAATCAGGATGTAAAGATTGATTTGCATTTCTTTTCATAACAAAGAATGACACAGTTTGGTCTTTTACACAATTTTTTTGAGATAACTTGAATGTCAGGAGTTGAACACAGCTCTGCTGTCCCCTGAAAGTTACAGCTATGAGCACTTCCTGATTAAATTAGGGTTTTACCCAGCATTCTCAGATTCTGCTTTGCAGATTAATTTGTTTTACAAGAAACAATTTCATTCACTGGCAAGCCATACTGCCAAGGAATGCAAACTCATAGCACTTACTGAGGGCACGACAAGAGACTTGTCCTGCAGAGCTCCAGAGGGAGGAAAACTGCTACTGAAATAAGAATTTGCATGTGTGACCACTGTCCATTTGGGACAGAATAAAATCTTGCTTTTTTTCCTGCTCCTCAGGGCCTTTCTGTGGAAGGTTTTTAATTGTGCTTCACAGCATAATCTTTGGAATACAGAATACACTTAGTAGCTTGGTTTGAATTGCTTGTTAAGGGTTAGCAGTGCATAGAAGCAGGACAAGAGCCAACAGACATGAAAGGAAATCAGGGATGTTCAGACCAGATATATGGAGAAACATTTTCACGAAGAGAACAGTCCAGCACGACAACAGATGACTCAGAGAAGCTGGAAAATCTCTGGTCTGGAGAAAAATCAGACCAGATTGGTAAAGCAAATTTTTCAAGACCAGATTGGTAAAGCCTTTTACAACCTGATCTGATTTCACAGCTGACCTTGCTTTGAGCAGAGGACTGAACCACAAGCCATTCAAGATCCCTTCTGACTTGAATTATCCAACAACTCTCTAGAAAGGAAGCTTTTCATGAATCTATCATTAATCTATGGGAAACACCAGACTGTAGCATCCTCACCCCTGTAGGTAGTTAGAGAGTAGGAAAGTGAAAGCTTTCATAAAGCTGAACTCCACTGCCATAAGAATCATGGCCCCTCAGTGGCTTTCTCCCTTTTTTCCCCACTGTTCATCAAGAGTGCCCTACAGAGTTTGCATGTTCAGCAATAAAGTTGAGGGCGGGGGGGGAGGATGAGAAAGGCAGATGAGCAAGATCAATTTTTACATCTTTATGCTTTCCTGTGGCTGATAAAAGATTGCTCTTCTCAGAAGATACACCAGTAAATTTTCAGTCTAGATCTGTATATCAGGAAATAAGGCTCCCATGACATCCTTTGGAGATTATTCCAGGGCTTAAGAGATTTCACACTCTAATGGTTCCCAAAAATACTCTGACTACGTTTCCTTTGTCAGCCACATCCTAATATATTACTAGATAAGTCCTCTGCCTCCAGGCTATTTACAATCCTCGGAGAACCGAGGACTGTTTTGCCACATAGCCAGTTAGAAAGATCAAGTTCTTCTAATCTTTTCTCACATCCACTCTGACTCCAAAAAGTGTTTGTATTTCTTGCCAGAATATCAGGGTGGCTTTTCCTGGTGTGGATGAGGTCCCAGTATTGCCGGAAGAATAGCAGGTGTGCTCTCATCTGAGCTAGGGTGCAAATGAGCACATCTAAGTTCTTTCGTTCTCTTGCACACAAAACCCCCAAAATGCAAGTTTTCAAGACTAGAACAGCAAGAACTCCAGGAGATGTTGTCTGTGCAGCCTTCATCAGCCTGATTTTCTAACATCAGTGGAAGTAGTTTCAGTCACTTGTAGGGTCTTGGATCAAGTCCCAAATCTCAAAGAATAAAAGCATGGATAAAATGAAGCATTAACTTCAAATGCAGCTGCCTGGAATTCCTGCCTTGAAGTGGGAATGGAACAACGTTGAGGGTAGGCGGAAGGGTTTTTTAAATTAAAAATGGGACGAAGAGCATGTTTTAATTTTCTAATTGAAAAAAAGTGCTTTGGAAAATATTCTGTGAAACTGTTTTGAATTAACTTATTTATTCAGCCAAGGGAACATTCCACTCACATTTAACAGAAGAATGGTGTCTCTACACAATATACAACTTCTCAGGCTGCCTTCCTTCTAAGTTAAAGAAAACCTAAACAGAAAAATGTGAGGACAGTCAGCCCATTCAGGTATTTCAACACCAGAAAGTCTCAGAGTGTGTAACACCTTTATCCCCACTGGGAGAAAGTCAGCTCCTGACTTTGCTAAGCCATAGGTTTGCACAGGGGAGCTCCTCAAATGCTACCAGAGCAAGAGGCTTTATACACTGTTCATAATGCACCAAAACACTTAACCAAATCCCATGTCATAAGTACACAGCTAGAGGAAAGCCTGGTTGCATGAGTTATGTGTGCTTATGTTCCTTGGTTGCCATCCAGCCCACTGTTTTCAGAAAGTTACACACTCAGAATTCACCCCTACATCCTTCTCTTTCACAGAAGGTGTTACAACCACTCTGTTCTACCATGATAACCTGACACTGGCCTCAGCAGGTCTGGTATGTCACAAGACTTGTACACTTGTTCTGGATCAGATCATTAGTTTTTTGCTGTGTGACTAATTCTTCTAAAACCAAAACAATGCAAGGCACACATCAAAGAAAAGCCATCTCTGTCTCCCCAGATGTTTCACTAATGCAAAGCCTAGTACAGTTACAGTATCACAAGGAAGAAGAAGATAAAGGCTCCTTTTCTCTGCTCTTATCTTCAAAATGTTCCAATCAGTAGAGCTGATCCAAAATAAAACATTTTTTAAAAAGTAAAAATCGAACTGAAAAGGACATCTTGCATTTTAAAATAATAAACCAAACAAACATTACACTGCTTGCTTTGTAAATCTTACAGAAGAGCACCTCCTTAGCCCAGGCTGCCTATTCCTTGAAAAACAAAGACAAGCAGAACTAGCTGCAGGCAATGAAGTATATTAGCATTTGAATTCATGTTTGTATATCCTCTGAAGGAAAAATTATCTTAAAAGCAACCTAAGAACTTCCTGAAATGTATTATGGCAACATTTATTTGAGATTTGTAGATTCCTGATGTCTTTATAGTTCCTTAGAAACAAACTGGAAATGCTAAAAAAACACCCCACCGATTGCTGCCAATTTCAAAACAGGATGTTTTTGTTTTTGAGGACTGTAATTAGGAACAGTGACCTTGAAAATGTAAACAAACCATCCATTACCTCTTCTCTTCTAATTACTGCTGCAAATATTGTTTTCTCTTTATAAACTTGTCTGTGTGAGCAATTTAGTTTTCATACTCAGGCAAAGACCAGAACTTCCACAGGACTAAATGTGCTGGCACCCAATGTCACCAGATAGTTCAAGGAAAAAGGAAGTGAGGAGGAGAAAGAATTTGCTATACTGCTAGGGATTTAAAATCATTGTGGCTGTTATCAGCACACAGAGAAATCAAGAGAGAAAAGGCACCCCTAAAAGAAATGCATTACAAGTACTGCTGAAGAAAATCCACTATCAGGAAAAGAGCTTGGAAAGTGCTTGGTCTCTTCGGGCAGCAAGAAGGGAGATCTGGAGCTTTCCCAACACCTAACCCTGCAGCCAGAAACCTGACATGTAAGCCCTTCCTTACCTTCTGATGTCCAAATTCATTCAACACTGTGCCCAGCTTCTTTGTGTTGCTGTGAAGTTTGTGGGCTGCAATGGCTGGGTTGGGATCCCTCCAGTCAATGGAGAGGCGATGGTACCAGAGGTGCTGGCCCTCCTGAATGTGAGCGGCCTTGATGCTGGGGTCGAAGCGATGCACCTCGCAGCCACTGTTGGCCATGCTGAGCTCAAACTGGTTGTCATCGTGGCCTAACCTATGCAAAAAAAGAAAAAAAAAAGAAAAAAAAAGGAAAATAAAGCAGCTGTAACTATTAATGTAGCAAAAAGAACTGTTAGTGAGTAGGACGTTCTGAGGATGAATTAACTTAACTTGAGGAAAATTCAAACTCAATGCAATATTAGAACTTTCTAGGCAAGAACTAAACCACTTTTAGCCAGGCTGATAACTTTCCCAAAGAGCTTTTCCTTAATTTAGAAGTTGGCAAAATTTGTACAAAAGTAAATTAAACATTGGGATCTTTGTGCTGTCATTATTCATATTAATATTTTATGTTTAAATATATTTCTTTATTTTCAATTTGCTTTTTTTCTTTAAAAGTTTACAATACTTTCCTTAGTCTCTGCTGCACAAACTTCCAATAACTAAACATAAGCAGAACAGAAAATATATTTAAAAAATATGCAGTACTGCTTTGTAAAAATCTGGCATATTTCATGCCACACCTGTCACCTGTTACAAACAGGACCCACAGTGACCACCAGTACAGAAAAGGTACAAGAATCAAATGCCTCTCTTTCTCTGTGGACAGGAAGACACAGATTTAAAATAGCATATTTAAAAATAAGCCCTTAACACCAGTAGCAGGGTTGTTACATAAACTTGAGAGAAATATTGCTGCTAATTTGATGAAGACCCCAAAGAAGAAGAAAAATTAATAGCCCCTTTGCACAGCAGTTTTGTCTCAGTCCCTGCCTCTGCAAGAAGACGTGTTTTAAAAGGCTGTGCCATATTCCCACCTCCTACAGCCCAGTGGTTCACACAGGGTGCACTAAAACGAAAAGAATCTGGTATTTACCATTGCAGTCACACATCTGAACCACAGGCCTGCCCTACTCCGTAAAACAGGATGTTCTCTTCATTCCTACTCCTCCAAGCTTATTGCAAATGTGATTCAAATCACGCAGTAAACATTAAACTTAAACAAAATTAAGCTGTTTGATACACACGTGTAGCACTGAGAATTAAGATTTTTTTAAAATCAGTTGTACTGCAAATTGTACAACTGAGATTATTCACTCTGTACTAACAGCAGAGCATTTATCTGTTGTGCACAGACCATGACAGGGCAGTACTCTCAGATGCACTAGCAGAGCACCTGCTATGCTACACCCCAGTTATCCTAAGCAATGGTGTGGGTCTGAAATAATTTTGGCTATTTGCATCAATATGTGAAAGGTGGCACATTTTAAATCACGTCACATGCTATGGTACAACGTTAGGCCAGCACTAAATGACCTACACAGATGACACACAGGTAAGATAAAATTAATTCAACTCATGAAACAATGTATGGCAGAGCATTTGTTTTGGAAGTTACCAACACAGTATGACGTAATACTGGCCAAGCACACTGTAACAATACCCTAGGACACTGTCTTCTCCTCAGCCACCTTCCCTTTGGGAAAACAGGAGGAGACAACACAGTATGACACTTGCTGTAATACTGGCCAAGCACACTGTAACAATACCCTAGGACGCTGTCTTCTCCTCAACCTTCGCTTTGGGAAAACAGGAGGAGAGAGAGTGTGCAAAAATAGCCCAGCATGCTTTTAAGAACAACCTTAATTCACAGGGTTCCAACCCATACAGCTGGGTGGGAGGAAAAGAGAGGAGTTTTCTTTTAATATATTCAGCACACATTAGGAAAAAAGTTCAGAAGTTAACCAAGTGAATCGACATGTTTGTTTGCATGTGGCTTTCTACAGAAGGGTCAGCGATGGACAAAGAGCAGTGTAATCCCTCAGGAATGAGACAGTGGCTAAAAATGAACAGCATGGGAATTGTTGGGGACAGTCACAGTGTCAGTGATGAGCCCACCAGCGACTGATGGCCACGTGTGTCCGTGACACACTTCGAACCATACCAGCTGGCACAATCCAGAGCGCCAGATGCTTTTGGTGCAGACAAACCTCAGGCTGCCTCCAAACAGATTGCTGCTCGTGTGGACTGCAAAGGGAGTTTCATTCACAGCGGGGGGAAACAGGGAAAAAAATACAGATGAGGGTAAAGATGGGCATGATGTGTCTTCTGGCACTCTAGTTAACAGCTCAAATTTATGCCTGAAGAGAGATCCAGCCAACAGCAAATATACAGGAGAGGAAATAAAGTCCTCTCCAAAGGAACTGGTTCAAAAAATGCCTGGCCCACTTGTCATCATGCAAAGGGAAAATGCAGCATGAAAAAGATAAAAAAAAATAGGTCTCCTAACAAAGATGTAGTTACTTTAAAAAGATGTGTTACTTAAAAAAGGATCATGATTTTAGAAGGACAGTGTGGAGGTCATAGAATACCAGCGAGGCCTTTCCTCGCCCTCAGGAGAGAGCAGCTGCTGCCTCCATCAGCAGCGAAATAAAACCTGCCGAAGAAAGGGGCCTGTTTTTCCCGTGAGGGAGAAGGGAGCCCGCTGCCAGAGGTGCCCGCAGTGCCCTGTGCGGGGGCAGGGGGGCACTCAGCCCAGCGCGGCCTCTCCCGGCCGCGGGTGGGCACATGGAGGCCTCGCTGGCCCCGCTGCCGCGGGCCGCAGGGCAGCACGGCGGGCAGCAGTGTCCCCTGGCTGCTCCCAGGGGTCACCGAGGGGCACGGGGCACGGAGCCTTGCGCTCAGAATGGGCACTGGGCTGCAGCTGGCACTGCGTGAAGCATCACAGCGGGCCCTGCACCACCAGGGGCACAGCGAGCGCACAAAGGCTGCTTTGTCCCCTCTGCACGGCTCTGGGGGACACCTGTAGCTGATCCAGCCTGAAAACTGCAGGCACTCCAGCTCCCACTGCAGGTACTCTGTCCCGCAGGAGAGAGCTATGCATATAGCTACCTTTACTTGCTGTACATGCAAGTTAAGGTCCTAACTTGCTATACATGCAAGCTAAGGTCCAGCTTTCCCTTTCTCTGTTCCCCCTCCCCCCCCTCCTCTTTCAAAGGAAGATGACTGAGCTCAGCAGCTCAGGAAAAAAACCCCCTGCCTGAATCCTAAAGCTCCTACATGCACTTTAGGATGCACCTGAAATGGCATTTATGCTGTATTACAGCAAGACTCTTTAAACCTTGCTGGTAAGTTTCTGAAATCCCATTCATTTATGTTATCCCAGCTTGAGTGGCTGCCTGTGGTGTTTGTAACTGACTTAGTTTAATCTAAGCAGATTTAGCACTAATAACTAGAGCTCACTAATGCATATTGCAATTATGTATCACACTGGGAAATCCTGTCCCCCAAGCAAAAACCTTGCTGCCTCCCAGTAGTGGAAGCAACAAATACTAATCTAAAAAGATCCCCAGATGTTCCAGACACTGCTCACTCCCATTCACAAGTAACTTCTTCTATGGCATTCAAGGAGGCAAAGCTTAAGCAGCACGATTTTTTTTTATTCCAGTTTTAATGATATATGGATTTAATTCAGGATTCCTGGTAACACTCCCACTGAACTTTCACATTTGTCCTCCATCCATTTTCTCCACAATGAATGCTCTGCATTAGCAGCAGCTGCTCCCCATTTGCTCTTTATGAAACGTATGAGATAACAAAAATGTTTAAAGTGGATTTTTGCCTTAGAACAAAATTACTTTTCTGTCTGTCATAAACTAAAGGAAGTGAGTCTGAGGAGAAGAATTATGCAGCAACGAGCTCCAAAGTTTGCAGAAGTAAACTGATGGATTTTAGACTGCTTCTCCGTAACCTCAAGTATTTCCCTTTAATTTTTCAGGTGTTTTCTGTGATGCATCTTGGTTGGTTACTTACTGCATGTGTGTATCTGATGACTGATTGATGGGAGAGCCGACATCAATTTCAATCCCTGCTAAACCCTAGTGTTCCATCACTACAGAAATTCTGGCACTCATGCTCCCTGGCCCATACACAGAACAGCACCACATATAAAGCACTGGTATGCACACACTGGCTCAGTCTTGTTCAAAACCATTAGCAAAATATCTCAGTGCTGGTCAGCTTTGTGCCTAATCTGCACCTCCTAGCATGGATTAAATCAACTCTGTGTTGTGCCTAGTGGACAATTCAACAAAAATACCATTCTCAATCTACATTTGACCCTTAACAACAGGGAAAATGGACATCAACACAGGAGCTCAGGTCTAATATTAATGATTGTGCAGCTTGAAGGACAAGGTCTAGGTTAATTCCACTGAAATTTGAGTACTTTGACAAGACATCCAAAATCAGCAGCCACCTTATCCCAGACTTCCACTATAATCAAAGGAAAGCTGTACCTACCCCCAGAATGCTATTTAACTTAGCTGATTTTCCACCTGAATGTGCTTGCCTCTCCCTACTACTAGAAGGGCCCTCAGGCAATAACTCAGTACTAAAGTCAGACAGTAAACTCTGGAACTGAGCATGGGGTAACACTGCATCTCTCCTAAGTTTTATAGGAACATGAAAAGCTGAGGAGGAAAATAAATCATGCAAACCTCTATTTTGCAGTAATGCCAGGTAAGTGTAATTTGAAATATATTGCAAACAACACCCAGAAAATAAGAAGCAGCAGTAGTCAAGAGAAATCTTCTCTCTGTATACGTGATTTGTCTCTTGTTCTGCCACAGAACAGTGCTGCTGAACAAAACCTGAGAGCACCTCCCTCTCAGAGAATCTGGGTCTTTACAGCTCAAATACACTCAGTCAAAGTATAAACCCACCCAAATTAACCAAAACCACTTCCTCTGACCAGAGGGCACCCTGCCTCCCCTCCATGCTCACTGCAGGTGTTACCTGCCATGAGAAATGCCACCCCAGCACGGTTCCTTGCTATCCACCCTTTGTAAATCCACAGCAGCAAAATCACAGGAATAAACCACACTGGTTCAAGGGAGATGAAGCCTTTCAATATGCCTCTAGCTTAAAGCTGCCCCTCAGGACAGCAAGTACACTTTTATTAAGCAGCTCTACATGGTGATCTGTGTGAAATGAGCTCCAGATCCCAGTGACTGTTCTCCTAATGTATCTGTGTGCTGATGGCCTGAAGCACTGCGAGGACTGACCTCCCTCATCCTCCAGGACAACAGAATGTTTTACTATAGGGAAACAGGCTGCACGCGTGGATTTGCTACCTGTGAAAGCACTTCTTCTGAGAAGAGTGAAAACTTCACTTTCAAGTGCTGTAAACATCATAAACACTGGAAACATTTCAAAGTAAAGCCACAGCTGCCTTTGTCACTATCACTTTGGCACACGTCACCCCTGAGGTGTCCAGCAAACACTCTCCTATGGAAATGTACTGTTTTGTCCCAGAGCTGGTTAATGAAGGTTTGTAAGCAATGCTGCTGAAATCCCTGGCAGATATGCAAGTCACCTCTCCTCAAGGCAGATGCTGTAGGCTTCTTAGCTTACCCCTTTGATTTCCACCTTCCTCTCCATGAACTACCACTCACAACTCACCAGCAAGCAATTTGTTTTCCTACCAATATTAGAAAGACAAAGGAAAATAAAGACCCTCATGGAGAAAGGATTTTTCCCTAAAAAGAAAGTTTACAGAAGCACATCAACATACCTGAAAAAAGTTTGTATTTTAGAAGATAACCTTGCTGCAGCATGTGTTTTATTTATAGGGCTTTTTGAAGCTACTTGCCATGAAATAATTTCCTTTCTTTTAAAGAGAGCACTTACCCAAGTGAATAGAGACGGCATTTCTTGCTTCTGATTCGGTGGATGAGGCTAAACCTCTCATCAAGACAGACTGACCAGGGCTTTTTTGTGGGTTTGGAGTACCCTTTCAAGCTGTTCAGGTTCATGTGTTCACATGAAATCTGTTGAAATCAAAGGATATTTAATTTTAAGACAGGACTTTTAACTTGTTTTTAATTTGCCTTCCAGGGGAGAAGTGGAAAAAAGAAAAATGTTCATTGGTTTAATTTACGTCTTATTGTCAATCTGATACACAGCTACAAAGATTTGATGATTTTTTTTGCCTTGTTTGTGTGTTCTGCTTGGTGAAATTTAAGGCTTATATAATTCCCCAGAGAGCGATGCAGTTTGAAAAGCAAATAATTAAGCATTAGTACTATACCCAAATTCTTTTTTTTTTTTTCGTAAGGAAAAGATGTTTCAGCATTCAAATGTTTAATTTTTTTTTCTTTTCAAACCTTGGAGTGGATTCTGCATCCTGAATAATGTTAAAATCAAGACTGTAATTACAAAGTTGCAGCGCCTCTGCAATGTGTACCTTACCCAGAGTGTCCTGGATCTCAGCTCTAGAAGGGATTTAATCTTTACCCCAACCTCCAACAACAATGGGATTTAAGCAAGTGTGTAACTAAACAGAGGAATCATAGCATCTATGCTGAGCTTGCTTGGACATCTAGAGACTAAAGCCAGGATAAAAGCCCTGCAAAAGAAGAGATAGAGATCCTGCAGGGAGGAACACCGTAAGTCAAAGCCCTTGTACAGACCAAGAGAGCAAAGACTGAAAAGGCACTGGTTTCATCAGAAATCTGGACATGTCAAAAATCACTGAGGGGTGAAGTCAGCTTTGCCAGCAGCTGAGCAGCAGCCTGGAACAGCCAAACCCACAGGGACTGAGCCAGCAAAGTCATGGCCCTGTGAGTGACACCCTACAGAGGAGCCCTGCCTGCAGCACCAGATCTGCCTGTCCACCCAGCAGCTCAGGCCAGAATTTCACCCCCAGGACACCACATTCCACTCCACCTTTTTCCTCCAAATTCACTCTGGAAAAGGCGTTCACAGAGCTGGAGAGTGCTGCATCCTTTGCAGAACTCAGGAGCCAGAGCACAGCAGTCGATGGAGAGCTGCTACAATTTGTATGGCTCTCACCACAGCAGTGGCAAGGAGGCAAGGGGAAGCAGAAGGAAGCACCAAAGCTGTGGCTGCTTCTGCCCAGGAAAGGCTGCACTGCTCTGCACCAGCATCAGCATCCACAGTTTGTTCTTGAAGGGCTTCTCAAACCACTCAGCCCAGCCATCAGTCAGGGGTTGCAGGGCACCGGTTGCTGCCACGCAGATAAGAAAGCAAAGACTGAGAAGAGCTGCAGGAACCCAGCTGGGCCATCGTGATGAAAAGTTGTTCTTTGGGCCCAGTACCAGCCCTCGCTGCAGGAATGGGAGCTGGCACTGTCAGAAAGGCAACAACTAAAATGGTGGAAAGGACAAAACCAGGTTAAATATCAGCTCTGAGCAGAGTGTTCTCATTTTGCTCCTTTCCTTCTTCTACAGCAGATTGCAGAGCCTCAGTCCTCAGTCTTAGCCAACCTAAAAAGCACAGCTCTGGTCCCACCTGGAACCATAGAAATGAAACTATTTTACACAGAGCTGAGAGCAAAACCTGGAACCCAGCCTTTAGTGTGGCAGGCACTCTCCACCACTTACCTTATAATAAGTAAATAAAACTCTCATTCTTTAAGAAGTGTATGCTCTGAAAGATCATTACCTGGAGCTTTACATTCAAAGAGCTGCACACTGCATCACCACCTCCCTGCTCCTGCTTGGCTCACAATTCCCACAGAAAATTCATAAAAGCAAATACAGCATCTCTTCATGCTGTTCCCAGGATTCACAGTTTTAAATAAAGATTTGCACTGCACCCCACTACCCATTTTCCTTCAGTCACACAATAATCAAGGAATAAATGGCGCTGCAATAATAAGCACTAATTTAAGACACAGAAGAATAATGTACTCTCTGCAGAAAACTAAGATTCTGCAATGCTGCCACTTAATTGACTCATGGCATTATGAGCAATTACAACAGTCAGAATTTGAAGCAATTTTAACAGCTCTTGCTACTGAATAGCTCTTGCTATTAAAAAAAAACAAAAACACACACAAAAAAAACCCCAAAAAACAAAAAACCACCACCACGACCACCAACAACAACTAACTTTTTTTAAAACCCAAACAAAAATCAAACCCTGAACCTGCCTTTAGCACCATCATCAGTCTGTTGCATGATTTACTGATGCACTGAGCTCACATCCTGTTCTGGGCTTCTCCTCACTCCTATAATACAAACAACAGAACAAGAAAGATGCTTCTCCTGATCATGAAATACCAGCACCGAAAATGCTTTTTCTGGCCACACTTGACTCTGCTGACATGGCACCTTCCTGCTCCAGCAGTTTGAGCCATTCTACATAATGGCATGGGGCTGAATTTTGTCACAGTAATTAGTAGACACTTGCTCAGCAAACAAGGAAAATGACATCCCATGCTTATGTACATAAGCAGGATGATATTTGCAGAAGTGCTCATACCAGTCAAGGTGTTATCCCATCAGTTACTCATCCTGTAACATCTGCCAGGTCAGGAACATGGATTCCTTCCATTTTTTTGTTTTCACTTATGCTTATTCCCCCAACCAGGGTCAGTTACTGTGGGAATGAAACTTCTCAGTGAGTGTGTCAAAGGCAATAAACTCTCTGTTAATTGATGTCCTTGTAGGCTTTGACCCAACTAGTGGAGTTTAGCAGCATCTGCCACTGTTTATTAAGTCGCTGAGATGAAGGATGTTTTCAAACTTAATACATCTGCCACAGTCTAAACTTCTGTACAACAAAGCAAGCAGTTCTACACACATCTCTTTCTGTCCCACATGAATCATCTTGCCTCCTGCCCTCTCAGTGCTGGCATGAGTGGCAGCAGAGATGTCATTTTATTGAGAATTTAGCCACAGGTACCTACAAACTGGAGAATATATGAACACCCTGCTATCCCCTTTTTTAGAGGTGTTTCAAATTATCTCAGCCTCAAAAGCACTGCATTAACAAAGAATTTAATATGTGAATGACATTTCAGTGATGTTGGCACCTGGGGCTTTTTGCTGTTCTTCAGAGTAAGTAATGATGCTGTCAACTCTGTATTCAAGGGTCAATTGCTGATAGACCTGGGTACCAAAAGCAGCTGCTCTGTTGGAATTGTGAGCATCCAGCATCTTTTCCATCTTTTTCTTACAGGAAATGCACACGCAGATGCTGTTGTGCATAAGTGATGTCTCTGTTAAGACATGATAGCCCACGAATTTCCATGTATGCTGAAGGCTGGAACTATCCATCAGCACAATCTGAATTTGGAAATGCCATATTTTAAAAAGCACATACACCCACCAATTTCCATGGCTGTTTTTTTTGTCCTGAAAATATCAATATTTTATTGGTATCATTGAAACAACTTGTCCAAGTTAGGGTCTGATGCCTTGTTCTCATTTTACTGGGAACCTCAATTGCCTCTTTTTGAAGTAAAATGAGCCTGCTTATCACACTATTATTGAGAGGTGGAGAGGTTTAATACACTCTCTTGATACACAGTGCTCTGTATTTTTCCATCTGAGAGGGAGAGAGGGGAAAGAGAGAGAGAGAAACATCACATCTAAAATTTCAGTCATACCATACTCCTGTCAGGACACAAATCCATTTGGAAATAAATAACATGGAAATAATGCATTCTTTCAAACCTGTGTTTTGACCTTTATATTCATGTTGACCATCAGTGCTAAGTTAAGCAACTTCAGAAATAAATCAGTTTCAAAAAGGTTTGGCGTGAGGTTAATTCCTTAGATATGAGGGAACAATCTGCACCAGGCAAAGTGTTTTCTAAATGGAGACTGAAACTAAAAACCTACCTGAGAAGTGCTAATGTACTTCAGGAACCTTGAGGCCTCATAGTTGAGGGAAGGGGTTGGACTTGCCCATGGTTGTAGTTCAATGTGCCATCTTACAGTCTGTAAAACAAAGCAAAACAAAAAACACCTTAAAGGCAATGCAAGCATAAATTACATGGGCTAATAAACTAAGGAGATTTAATTTCAAACTAAAATAATTTCCTGGGGGCTTGTCTACACATGAAAAACATTTCAGAACAAAGCAGGGTTTCAACTACAGTGAAAAAGCATCTAACTGTGATTCAAAATGATCAGCTTTGAAAGCAGATGCAGGAAATTCAAAAAGAAAGTGTTCCTCATCCAGCATACATGCGTTAACCCAATTATACTAGGACACTCAAGTAAGCTGTGAGAAATGCATGAAGAAAACCAAGATCTAAATATCCAAATCCTACAGAAAACATCTGGAAACAGTGATATCATTTTAATTTCATATCTATCAGGTACGAATGCCGACTGAAAGAAGAAATTGGATTGCAAACACCACCAAAGGAAACCCCTGCAAGCAACATGTTTTCTTTTTTAAGATATAGATTTTATTGAAAAAACAAGCTCCTTGTGGGCTTTGAGAAAAGCCCTCTTCCTCTCCCACGCTTGCCTGACAGATATACCAGAATTCTTTGTTTCCCTGAAAAAATAAAAGTGTGGCTGCCTGTAGCCCTACCAGTCCTCATTTACATAGCCCCAAGGAAGTAGCTTTGGTGGGTGCTTTCTGTGCTCCCTCAGCTCTGAACCTTGGGGATTCTGTCAGCTTTTCCAGAAACACTTCCCACGTAGACAGAGCAGGACAGAAAAGGCCTTTCAGACATGTGCTTGCAGAGCAACAGGGCTCTCTGCTCCCACCTGCACTTCCTTCTCCAAAATTCTGCCCGCTGTCATGCTGGGAAGTTTAGACTTGTCATCTCTTGCCCTCAAGTAGATAAAAATACAAGCACGGTGTTAAACTGTACTAAATCAAGATTGATTCCTCGTGGCCTTTCATCTTCAGGCGCCACAACTCACTTCTATGGTTGGGCAGGTACTATCAAGCTTCCCTTTAATCATCCTCAATTAACTGAGCTTCCATAATGGACAGGATGGGGTTTCTCCCTCAAAGGCTCATGCTGGCATTCAATAAAATACAATCAGAAACCCCACTCGGGATTCCCACAGGACTGCATTTCAGATGAAGCCCTGGAAAACATGCAGGAGGGAGCAATTAGCTGGAGAGGATGGAGGCAGACAGGTGAGGTCTGAGCCCCCAGACAGGACTGGTCTGTGGCACCAGGAGAAGAGCCAGCACAGTGACAGCAGGGATCCTCTGATGCCAGAGAGGAATGCAGGAAAGAGAAGGTAAAATTAGAAAAGATTATTAAAAAGGACCACCAGACCAGATGGCGTTTGCCTTGAGCTGGTATCACGAATTGATATTTTTGCAGCCTAAGTAAACATAGCCTACAGTGAATGTGAGCCAGGAGGTCTGTATGAGGGTTGTTGTCCCTTTAGGGGTTACTTTTCACATTTGTTGAGGGTTTTGGGTTGTTTGGAGTTTTTTTTTGTGGGGGGGGTTTGGTTTTGATTTTTTTTTACTGTAAAGAGATGCTGAAAAGGATATTGAGATTTTTTTTTTCTCCCCTAGAAGCAGACAAAAGCAGCATTTCTCACCCTGAAACTTGCTGCCTGCAGCAAACTTGGACTCCTATACTCTGCACAGCATGAGCCTGGAAGCAAGCTAGCAAGCCAGCTCTGCAGCTGCATGTGCCCCTGACCTCTGCTTGCAGCAGGCAGCCTGCAAAGAGAGAGCAGCAGGAGGATAGGTGCACACCAGGGAGGGAAATTCGTGTAATCTTTCAGAATGAGTCACAGTTCACACGGCTGAATAACGTTTGCAATGACAGGAATGCTGCTGTTTCAACAGGCTTGAAAGCTGAAATGAAAATGAAGACTGACAATCGTTTTCAGAGGAAAAAAAAAAAAGGAAAAAACCCGAACAATAAAAAAAGGAACACACAAAAAAACCCCACCAAACCAGCAAAAAAAAAAAAAAAAAACAACCAACCAAACAAAAAAACTAAAACTAAAAAAAAAAAAAACAACACACCAACCATCCAGATACCTAGACATCTGTGCCCAGTTATTCTGAAATCTATTTGTGTGAGAAATAGCTGAAGTAGCTCATTAAGTAGAGGAATTGCAGGGTGACCATTGTGGACTATTCAGCAAGAATTCCTTCTGCACAGAGCTGACAGGGAAGAAAAAAAATTCTCTATAATGAAGCACATGAATGAGATTCTTTTTCAGCAGAAAGCAATGTCCAAGAGCCACTGCAGCTTACACTCGGGTTCTTGAAATCTTAAAGACAGCAAACTGCCTTCCCACTGACTCCAAACTATTGATAAACACATGGAAATGAAATAAAAACCCCAGTGACTTACTAATGCAGTTTCACTAAAAAATAAGGGGGGGGGGGGAAGGGAAAAAAAACACAGAAAGAGATCAAGTTTTTGTATAGTTCTTTAAATTTAGGAGCAATACAAAATGCTACTTTTGTGACAGAGATCAGAGCTGAGGCTCCAGTTTGACAGCAATGCTTTTGAATAGCTTCTCAAACTTCACACTCCATGGCTGCTTGGGAAGCCACAGCCTATTTCCATTCACTAATGAACACGCAGGAGAGCCCTGCTCCTGACACCTCCTGACACCCCCACAGGGTGCCTCAATAGCTGCTTACAATAACACTCACAGACAATGGATGGGGGTGAAAATCCAGCACATCTCTGCGACCGGGTGCACCCCCCCACCCCAGAGGGTAACTCACAAATGTTGGTGATAAGTTTTGGGTACGTTCAGGAATACAAAATATCCTCCTGAAGGAGCTGTTCCATAGGTACATTCGTAGCCTTTGTTTACAGTTTTCCAGGTAATTTCCAGCTTGGTTCATAGTGTTCCCATGTAAGCCTTCTCAAAAAAACTCTACAGATGCTTTGAGAAAATCAGGTTTATCAGGTAAAAAATGATCCTTACTTGAGGAGTTTTCCCCTCTCTTGACTTTGCAATTTTGCTTACTCAGAGCGAACCTGAGTGAGGCATCATAATTTGGGTTTTCTCACCTGTATGGTGGAAATCTCTAGAATGACTGAGATCAGGTGCCTATGGCTGCTGATCAGGCTGACGATCAGCTCCTTTCACAGAGGGCTTTACAGAAAGAAGAGCAGAAGAGTTATTACAGCCCAGATTATACAGCTCTGGATATGAAATTCAGACAGCCTACCCAGGAGGAACCTGAAAATGGGTGCAGACAATCTGCATTTTTGCCTATCACCATGGCTGTGCTGTCTCCCTAGGGTAAGGACTAGTCCAACTAGGACTCATCCAAACCATGACTGTGTTTCCCAAACACCAACATATCCATATTCCACAATATAAAGACATGATAGTACTTAGAAAGTTTCAATGCCACTTAAAAAAAAAATAATCATACTGAATATCTTAAAGTATCCCTTTGTATATAGCTTCACTTATAGACACATCAATTGAAATTAGCATTGTAAGAAAATCAATCTTCAGTAAGACTTTACCACAAGCACTGGTCAGACACTGACTTCAGCTACTCCTGAAGAGTAATGGATATCCAGAAACTGTCATTCAGAATGGTGTCTAAATTTTCACCACATGAGATAACCACAGAGAAAAGAAAACCTTAAAGCAATGCCTTTGCTTTGTTAGGAAAACTAGGATGCATTTGAAGGTCTGATTTTTCTTCCAGGTACTTCATACTTCAGGATAAGGACTGATGTTTCCTTCAGACCAATCTGACAGTAATCTTCAGAGACTTCTCTCTGCAGACTACTTTTTCCTAGATTTTTTTCCCCTCATAGCCATCTGTGATAGTAGTTTGATAATCCCTTAATAATTTGTAGTATATATGTGATATACTTTTAAAGGACTGTCATTTAAAATCTGTCCTAAAAATCTGAAATCATAATATAAAATTTAAATCAAAATGTGCAAAGGGCTCACAAACCAGCAGGTCTAAAATTGTAGGTCTGCCAAATGTTTGGCTTTTCCAGCCTAAACTTACACACAAATCATTAAATTCTTTCCAGATAAATCCTAGTTTTAGTGCACTAATTCAAAAAGCCCAACCCCGTCCTTCCCTTCTGCTTACATTTGAGAGGGAATTAGTAAATTTTTCATATTTCCATCTTTTTAAACTCAGTAGCTGTTTCCCTCCCTTTTAATCTCCTTCCTTTTTAGCAGCCAATTAAAATACAGAAACATATTAGCCACTTTTGTAAACAAAAATGGGGTACCCCACTGCCATGCCAAGCAGTCTGTTGCTTACAAGGAAGAAACAAAAGACTTGTCAATATATACACAGATGCCTTAAGTAAATCCTCTGATTAAATCATGCAACAATTTAATTTTTTACATCTGAGACAGGACCAAATGTGAGTGGAAATAATTTGTGGCAATAAATTCCATCAAGAACTGTAAATATTTGCCAGCCATAGAAACAAATGACACGCACATCTTCATCTCCAATTATTCTGCCTGTGTACTTCAGCAGAACAGAACCTGCTCATGGGTGAAATTCTGCAGTGGTTTTATCAGTTTGAAAGGCAATGCATGGGATTCAGATTCAGGCTGCAAAACTTCAGACATTTACAAGGCAAATTTATTAGATTGCATTCCTTGAAAGCTTGCCCTTGTGAGAACAGATTGCCCCCAGATACGATTTACAGAGCTTGGACATAATTTATTTGTCATCCCTCTCAAGCACCTGTGGCCTTAAGCATATTAGTTTGCTGTGGTCTCACTATTTGGGGTTTTTCCCCCAATTCAGAAGTACCCTGAATAGTGAAAGCTGCGTGCTGCAGCCCACACGAGCCCTGGCTTTGCAGGACACGCCAACGCCCCACGAGGGACACGCCACCAGCGCGAAGCCTGCTAAGGGAGTGGGAGGGCTGCTGAGGGTGGAGGCAGCCAAACCTGGCACACTGCTCCTCTTGCTGACAGCACAGAGCAGCTCCAGCAGCAGAGAATCCCACGTTTAGTTTCAGAGGCAATTAGCTGAGTGA